GACTAGTGGCTATAATGTGCACTGACCACCAGGGGGCAAATGCTCAATGCAGGAGCTGCTCCCTGGTAGTCAGTGTACTCCCACAAGGGGAGCGCCACTTAGCCAGAAGCTGGGCTCACAGTTGGTGAGTGCAGCGGCAGTGGCAGGAACCTCTCCTGCCTCCAAGGCAGCTCTAAGGATGTCCATTTGAGAGCTTAGGCCCACTCTCCGTGGGCCTAAGCTAACAGTTGGACAACCCCTGAGGGCTTCCAGACTGTGAGAGGGTTCAGGCTGGGCTGAGGGACCCCACCCCCACCCCCACCCCCTGCCCAAGTGCATGAATTTCATGCACCGGGCCTCTAGTTCAGTCATATTGTAAAAAACAATGAAATCTTGCCATTTGTGACAACGTGGATGGACCTTGAGGGCACTATGTTAAGTGAAATAAGTCTTATAGAGAAAGACAAATCCATATGATCTTTCATATATGTAGAATCTAAAAATAAAACATTAAAACAAGCTCATAGATACAGAGAACAGAGAGGTAGTTGCCAGAGGTGTGGGATGGAGGTGGGAGAAATAGGTAAAGAGGGTCAAAAAGTAAAAATAAAAAATAAATACTGTGCATTGCTGAGCAATAACAGCAATAACCACAACAAAAAAAATCTAGCCCAAATTAAAAAAATATTAAGTTGATAAAAATTTAATTAAATAAAAGAAAACTCAACTCTAGTCAGTAGAATTACAAAGACAAATAGTAGTAAGACAGTGAAAATTCATGTTCTCTACTGGTGCTTAACCAAGCAAAGATCATTTGTCATAGAGTTAGTTCCTGAGGCATCACCTAAACAGCTGACCTCTTTTGCTATTTTTCAAGTTCCTGTTAAGTAGCTACAGAGAGTAGCAGCTTTGAGGCTCTTCTTCAATACTTTTTGCTGTTACTGAACTTCTTTGCTCATAAATTTAGCTTACATCATAGGGAACAAATTGGATGAATGATATTGAGGAAATTCTATTTATGAAGTGCTTCAGAAGAGTTGTATTGTGGAATAAAGGGCCTGTGCCCAACTAAAGCCATTTAGAGTGCCTTCCCAGTCTACTGGGGCACTGCTCAGCTGGTAAGATATCTAAGCTGGGAAGGCACAGAGGGAAAAACAGGAGATAGGAGTTGCTTAGACCTAGATCCCAGTCCTGACTTTGCCACCAGCTTTCTGTACAACCTTGGGCAAGTCATTTTTTTTCTTTCTGGGCCTCAGTTTCTCCATATGCATAATGAGGGGTTGGGGCTCTTTCTATTATGAGATTTCTCTGATTACTAGCCAGGCTCATCATTCTCCAGATACCCTCTTTCACTCCACTTTTTATATTACTCTAGTAAAAACAAGCACTACAATTGGGGGTGGAGGGAATTCACAATTTTGTTATTTCTGTTAGTACTGACTCATCTAAGAACATGTTGGCCAAAATGTAATGATTTTGCCCAAATAAAAGTATCCAATTATTTGACATTTGATATGCAGCATAAATCCACAGTATGACTATACAGTTTCTTCCTGTGTTCAATGAACATTAATTGGGCATTTTCTTTGAGCACTAATACTGCTGGTGAGAACACATAGTCTTACTACTTCGTATTATTGGTAAGACATATATACATACACTTATGAGAATATGTGACATTAATATAATACTTACCTAGTAGGAAAACCAAGCACTGTACTAAGTACTTTATACGTATTGATTTATTTAATCCTTCCAATAACCCAGGGAGCTAGGTAATCTCTTTTTTACGTGAGAAACCCAAACTCAGAAAGGTCACATAATTGGCCTGAAGTTACCTATTTAGTGACAGAGCTGCCTTATTCCAGAACCAATGTGCTTAACCTCCATGCTTCACTGCTTCCTAATTTGATTCAAGACAGTGTAAGTTAGGTGTTAGAAGTGCAAATTAAATAATATATGAACCCAGGTAAGTGAGAATTTGCTTCTGGAAGCCCAGTGAGGAAAAAGTGTAGGCCTGGGAAAATTACTTAACCTTTATTAGCCTCAGTTGCCTCATCTGTAAAATGGGGCTGATAAGAAATAGAACTACTTCATAAGTGTGAGGATTAAATGAGTTAATACATGTAAATATTCATAATAGTACTTGACACATGGCATATGCTCAATAAAATTTTAGCTATATCATCATCATCATTATCATCATTTGTGGAGACATGAAGAGAGGAATGGGCTGCAACAGGATTGTACTCTGAGGCTTCAGTGACTGGACCTACATGTTGAAAGTTGAGTTATAAGTTGCCAGAGGGAGTCCCTTTTGAGTTGGCTTTGAAGCACAGTGAGCTCTAGGTAGAGCAGTGAAATGCGTCACTAAAGAGTCTCCTTGCTCAAAAGAATGGAACTTGATATTACCTTGGGGCAGGATATTGTCTCCCAAAGGCCCTGCTAAAATGAAAACTATACCTGGGAGGCAAAACCTCAAATAACTATTATTAACTTCCTGGTTCAAGTGCATTTATCAGATTAGCTCCAGCAGAGATTGGCACTTTTAGGAAATAAGACAGGGAAAGTGTAGTTCTAACCACTTAGGAAATAGTTCCTACACACCCTCATGAAGGGATCTTTGCATATTAATGCTTCTATTAATGTAGTTGATAGATCCTCCCTTCCTCCAACTGATGGACAGACATAAACTCCATCTGCAGCTGGACATTCCTGAGCATTGAACCACCAATCAGCACCTGCCAAATACCCTAAACCCCCAATTCCTAATCCCTAGGTCCCTAATCATAGGCCTTACATCAAACCACCAATCAGTGTGTGCTGAATACCCTAAGCCCCGTCCCCTATTCTCCCCTTAAAAAGTGCTTGTACCCAGGCCTCGCCCTCTTCTGCTCTCTTTCTCTGGAAGCAGCCGACAGTGGTACTCTTCTCTTCAATAAAGCCTGTGTCCTGGCATCCCAGTCTCTGGCCCTCTTTATTTCATCTTTTAGTAATTATTGGGGGTGCTCATTTTTGGGTGTGTGTGTGTATGGGCTTAATCAGGGATTGGAGTATCATGGTTCCTAAAAATAACGTTATAAGGGCTTATTCCCATTAGCACAGTGATTTCAGGTACATTATCTCATTTAATCCCATAGGAACACTGAAGGGGGAAAAGCAGAGATGATCATTCCCATGAGACCTGGTAAGTTTAGGTGATGACAGTATGGCCTTATAGCAGATAAGAGTGGAGACTAGAGACCAGGTGGTTTTCCTCTTGTTTGGAAGACTCATTCCAGGGAAATAACACCAGGAAGATGATCTCAGCTACCAATGCTCATTGTTCACAGCCCGGGCCTTATGAACGAAGATGCTCTGCTTCACATCTGTAAAATGGGGCTGATAAGGAATAGAACAACTTCATAGGTGCCTTTTTCCCAGTGGAATGTAGCTAATGAGCCACAGGCTATTAACACGAACCCTATTTTACTCCCTTCCCACTACCTTGATTTAGGCAAAAGGAATGTTTTTGAAATTTTTATTTATATATTCAAAGAATGTATTGAGCACCATATCCCAGGGAATACAGCGATACAGCTGTGCTTAATGTGGAGAGCCCTCTCTTGTGGAGCGGACAATAATGGCAGAGAGTGATTGCAAATAAATTGTGCATGTGCTGGATTGTTTTAACATTTCAAACATATTTTATTGATTTTTTTTTTTTTACAGAGAGGAAGGAAGAGTGATAGAGAGCTAGAAACATCAATGAGAGAGAAATATCGACCAGCTGCCTCCTGCACACCCCCTATCAGGGATGTGCGCGCAACCAAGGTACACACCCTTGACCGGAATCGAACCCAGGACTTTTCAGTCTGCAGGCTGACACTCTTATCCACTGAGCCAAACTGGTTTCGGTTCAAACATATTTTAAATGTACCATGGACTCTCACATGTTTTTAAAATATATATTTCATTGTCGACAGTATTACAGACGTTCCCTGTCCTTCATTTTCCTTACTCTTTTGCCCTCCTCCACCCAACCTCTACCCCACCCCAGGCCTTCACCACTCTATTGTCTGTGTCTATGGGCTATGCATATATTCACACAAGTTCTTTGTTTAATCTCTGATGGCACACATACGCATTGTCCAATGTATTTCTTGTATAAAGCTGGACTTAACACTTCAAGCAAACTCTTTTAACATGTGTTGAGTGCCACCTATGTGCTGAGGCCGATATTGGGGACTTTGGAGATATGCAGAAGAATGAGAAGACAGGGTTCCCTCTTAGAGGGTTCCCAGTCCAGTGAGTGAGGCAGTCTCTTCCCTTGGGAGTTCCCGGGCTGCGGGAGCTGAGTCTAGTCTGGGAAGGCAAACAAACTTCAGGACCCACTTACAAAGGGGAATCCCAAGGACAGGCAAAGTGAATCCAGTCTAGACTGTTTGGAGTTGGGTAGACTGCCCTTGTCTCCTAATGATAGAGAAAGGGACGCCATAGCAGCTGCTGTGTGTCCCTGCAGTGAGGAGGAACCCAGGGCAGCAGCGCCCCCCCCCGCCCCCCCCCCCCGTGTTTGTTATCTTAGCAAGTCTTCTGGGTAAGATGAAATTGGAGGTGCAGCTACAAGAATGAAGAACACAGGGGCTGGGAGGGCTGAGTGGTGGTATTTCAGGTAGAGGGTGCCTCCTGGGGCCATTGGGCAATTAAGCAGTCTTGGGCACAAGCCTGGGCAGTCATAATCAAACCTGGCTGAAGTTTCAGAGGAGAGAGGATGGAAAATGGTAAGGAGAGGGAGAGGGTCAGAAATGTTCCCAGTAAATTTGGGCAGCCTGGGCTGGGTCCTTCTCAAAGCTACCAGGATCCTTGACAGCTGTTAAGTAAGCGAGGCGAGAAAGGGTTAAGTGTGCCCCTCTGCAGCCCCAAATTCTTCCTGTGTTTGAAATCCTTCAGGTTTCCCAACCCCTCTGGCCCCAGCCAGGCAGGCATTGTCTGGGAAGCAGTTGTGGGCTGTCAGAGCGCAGAGCAGCCTTTGTTGTGGGGCCACCTCTAGGTTCCCTCTGGCGCCCAGGCCGGGGCTGCAGAGTGCGTGCCTGGAGGGGGGCGGTGCGGGAGGCTCGCCCCCTCTCCCTCTTCCTGGCCCCCTCCCTCCAGCCCTCCGGATGACCACATGACCAAGTGGGCTCTCCGCCAAACTCCGGGCTACAAAATGCAGCCCCTAGAGTGAGTAGGGAGCATTCTCACTGGCAGCCTGGACCACGGGCAGCTGGAGCCGGCGGCCGAGCAGCCAGCCACTTTGGAAAGAGCCCGCTGCCTTCCCGGAGCCCCTGAAGCCAGCTTGGCGGCGCTGCCCACTCCAGGGAGGGATAGGCTGCAAGAGGGGCAGAGGCCAGCCTGTGGCGCGGCCCGGGAGCTCCGAGAGCTCTGCGCCCACTAGCCCACACGAGCCGCTGCGAGAGTCTTTCTTGGCCTGCGGACGCCTGACTTCTCCGCCTCCCCGCCTCCTGACCAGGCTAGAGGAGCAGCATGAATCTGTGGCTGTGCGTGCAGGCGCTCCTGCTGGTCTGGCTGTCCCTGACCGCGGTGTGTGGAGGTGAGTGCGTGCCTCCTGTAACCCGTGCTTCCCTCCTGCTCTCCCGCTGCCTGTGCCGCGTTCTACGCCTCCGGGAGCCAGGCGCCCCCCAGGCAGCCTCTCCCAGCGGCGCAGAGTGACAGGGTGCCCACTGCAGGGAACCTTCAGCTTGTGTCTCAGGCATCACCCCACTGGCACCTTGTCCCTCCTGGTTGCCTCTCACAGTCCTAGAAGCTCAGGGCCTCCGGAGTGCTCCCCGTGTCCCGGGCTCCACATCCCACGTGGTGGAGGGTGGCAGGGGCATGTCCTGCTCCCCTTGTGGGTCAATGAAGTGAACTGACCTGAACCGGGTGGTCTGGGCTCCCTCGTTCAAGGTTTTCTGGACCCTGGAGGTTTGGAACCGCTGGCTGGTCTGGTCCTAGGGGGCAAGATACTGGAGATGATGTGCCAAGATGCAGACGTGACACTTGTTGCATAGGCAGGAGCAGAGCGGTGGGGGAGTGGAGCCCAGCTGTTGCTCCTTCAGCTGCATGTGGTCAGAGGCAGCCAAGCTGGTCCTCTCCACACTTAACTTACTCCAATGTCCTGTCTGGCCTCTTCTGCTCTTGTGCAAGAGGTCTGCAGACTCTGTTCTTCGATATCCTGGCTCAGCCTTCCCTTTGCCCCAGGTACAGGCATGCTTCACCTTAGTGCCCTGTCTCCAGGCACCAAACCAGGAAACAGTGCCTAACTTGATGCCTCCATGCAGCTCAGGGAGGGGGAGTCCTTTTGCCCCCACCTGCACCACATCCCCCACCTGGCACACTTGGCACTGGCACTCCCTTGCCCTCCCTGAGCCCTAGCAGTTCTAACCCTTGCTGCCTGCCCTCTGTGTGTCAGTGTGTCCTGGGGTTGCCAGCTCCCACCTCCAGCTGCCACAGTCTTGTGATCTGCCTGTCACTGGTGCTGCTTGCCTGGCACCACAGAAAGAAAGGCCAAGGCCAGGTGGATTAATGCCCGTGCTGGGACTGGAGTCACAGGAGGTGGGAGCAGAGGGGAGCAGAGGGCAGGGCAGCAAGTTTCCTTAGAGGAAGAGCACAGGGCCCCACTTGGTCCCAGACTCTCCAGAGCAGGAGAATGGCCTGCAACCCAGGAAGCTCTGAGGGACTCAGTGTGGCTCTACCTCTCTCTTTGTAGGTCCCCTCCTTTCTCTGCTCTTGTCTTATGACACTGCCCTGGCCCTGGAGCACTGCCTGGCTCTTCAGAAAGGCACGTTGGTTGAGTCTGGCATCGCCTGCCTTCAGCTAGCTGTCCGGTGGTCTTTCTCTCAGGGCCCGAGCTCTGGGTGAGCCACCTCCTTGATAAGAAGGGAGCAGACTTTTTTCCCTTAGAAACTCCTGTCTGGCAGTCAATGGCAGGAAGAGAGCAAAAGATATGAATGGAAGACACCACCTGGGCCTCCTCTATGAGCCTACTAGCCAGTGTAGTTAGCAAGACAAGACACCCACCTGATACCACTGCCTAATAGTCCAAGGTGATGCCTTTGGGAAAGAAAGAGTGGCTGCAGAGATGGTGTTCCAGAGGAAGCTGGGTTTGCCTGATCTGCATAGCTGGTGTTTCCCCAGAAGCTATGGGGAGACCCTTGGCCAACTGGCCACCACTAGAGCCCTTTTGGGATCCAGCTGTTAGGGCAGTACTGGTGAAGGGGAGAGCTGGTTTCAGAGGGAGGGGACACTATGTTTGGCTCAAACCCTGCCACTTCTTGCTTTAATTCACCCTTCTTCATTAGGCTATCTATCTTCTACCTATCTGATTTGGGTCAATTCGTTGCCTTCACCTTTTGCTTAAGCCTAATACAGCAAACTCCCAAGGCTTTCATTGCCTTCTCCACCCCATGACCTCTCCTGGTGCTGAGGAAGGGCACCTCCGGATAGGTGGCAACCAGCCAAGGGTTTAGGTACCCATGTCTTGTTCCTCCTGCTTTCTGTCCTGGATCAGAAACAGGACCCTGAGAACCACATTTCCCGTGGCCAAGACTTGCCTGCTTTCCCCACCCACAGTCCCCAAAGTCCCAGGCCTGAAAACCATACTTTCTTCATAACACACTCTGTCCTGGGTTGGAATGCCACCCCCCCTCCACCCAGTACGCACATACTCCTCCACCGCCTCCTGACCTGGGATACACTTTGCTCTTCTGAGTCTGAGAGCTGCTGGGTCAGGGCCAAGTGTTCCTTGTTCTGTCTGAGTACCTTTCTTTCTCCCCTTCTCCTTCTCCTCCCCCTCCCCAGGTCCAGCTCAATGCCTGCAGTCACAGTGATAGTATGAGAACAGCCTACTGTACCCTTCCCACTTAGGGCGGGGCAACCATGGCTCCATCCCCAGTTCCTATGCGCTAAGCATCCATGTAACCTGAGTCAGGCCTCTCAGTGGCACAGGACTAACGCAAGTGGAAGGCCAGGCTGCCAGAGCATAAGATGTCCAAGGGTGGCAAAGCTGGCATGAGAAGATCACTCCGGGCACTGGGATGGGGGACTGGGCAAAGGAAGGAGGCTTCATCCTGGAGACACATGCAGGACCCTGAGTAGTGGAGGGGGCATAGCCAGCAGGGTCCCCACAAGAGCACCCATGTGGGCTTTTAAAGCCATCACAAAATAGGCTAGATGATGAGGAAAAAACAGGTGAGTCATTCCTGGTATGGCTGATGTTCCTAAAAAGTCACAGGTACCTCATTGTGCATTGGCAGACCTGAACTTCAGGCTGCCTGAAAATCAAACCCTGTTCATTGCTGCCTGTGGTTCTCAGAGCAGAGATGCTGGGGCTTCATTGCTGGTGGCATTTTGGAGAGTGATGGCTCTAGTCCTTCTAGCCTGGAGATTCTTTGGAGTATTGCTCCAGCCTCCTGTTAAGTAGCAAATGGGCTGGAAGAGACCAAGTGCACTGAGAAAGGCCTCCATTTATAAAGGGGAATTCTTTTGTATAACCAGGACCTCTGCAGTGATGAGAATTAACAGCCTTTAAAAGTCTCTTCGGACAGGATAAAGCCTGGGTTTCAGGTATCTGCTTATCTTAGGGTGAGCCAGACTCAGAATCAAAAGTAGGGAACAGGTGGGTGATGGGATCAGGGTGCTGGAGGAGCTGCAGACTTCCTGTTACAAGAACAGTGAGCTGCCCTACCAAATGGGATGCAAGATGCCAGGGACTTCTGAATGGCTGATATCCAGGGCCTGGTTGAGTGCTCAGTCAGCTCAGGGAGTTCTCTGCAGGCTCACTGGCCAGAGTCTGAGGCACCATCCTTGTTTCCTATTCTGTTTCTCTCCCTCCTACCCCCTTAGGACCAATCACCCCTACCTTTCCACCAATACTCACAGTCCTGGATGCTGAGCATTTGGAAATGATGCACTCCCCAATCCAAGCACTGTGCCTCTCTTCTCCATGCCTACTGTACCCTTTGGCCATAGCCTGTGCCATTGCCCCATGCTCACTCCACTCCTAGTAGTTGGCAGGGATGCAAGAACCAAGGTCTTGCTTACATTGTCTGGCCACACTCTCAGCACAGTCCTTCATGCCTTGAATATTTCTCTGGCACTGCATCCTCATCAGCATTATTCTTATTGGCCTCACTGGGCAAGGAGAGCCTGAAGGTGACCCAGAAGTACAGGGAAGAAGCTGAAGCAGCTTGGGAAGGGAACTTAGTGAAGGTCCTTCCCTCCTCTCTGCCCACCCTGGCCCAGACCCTTTGCCAGTGTGACTAAGAGGGTAGATAGCTCTATGAAAGTTGGAAGTGACCTCCTGGCCCATGTCCATGCTTGCTACCCTGAAGTGGAAGTCTAATTTATATTTTAATTCTCATTAGGTGATGGGTTTAGGGGAGGAGTTGACATATTAACCCACCCCAACTAGAAGCATAGAAGTGTGGCTGGTAAACAGCAGGGTGGTAATGGGCCTGTCACTTTTCTCCAGGGGGGGGGGGCGGTTGTGGAGGACTAGATTGTGTGTGTGTGTGTGTGTGTGTGTGTGTGTGTGTGTGTGTGGAGAGAGAGAGAGAGAGAGAGAGAGAGAGAGAGAGAGAGAGAGAGAGGGAGCGCACGAACGCAGCAGGCCCCAGGAGTCTGGGCAGGGTGGGCTCTAAGGTAAGGTGATCTTACTCTAAGGACAAACTCACCTACTTTCAGCCCAAGAGGAGAATCAATAATTGGAAATTGTGTGCAAGTAGAGGAGAAATCACAAGAGCCAAGGAACTGAGGAAGGATGCTGGAGGCAGGGAGGAGGGAAAGGAGGCATGGCCAGGGGCAGCCAATGAGGCGGTGGTGGGGTTATATGGAAACTGAACTAGTGGTGGGGATTCTTAGATAGGTAAAACTGGGCTCCAGGAAGAGGGATGTAGCTGAGGGTAAATCCAATAATGTTGGGGAAGAGAGTCTGGGATTTCTAATCACTGCTTTGGAAAACATTTATATTTTTGTTTTATTATATTGAAATAAATTTATATGAAAACAAAATATTTCTGCAGGCCAGCCCCATAAGGCATTGCATGAGAGCACCCTGCCAGACTGCCTCTTGTCCAGCACCACATCATCTCCCTGCTCTGCCTATTTCCAGTCTTCCTTGGTTGGACTGCAGCAGCCCAGCCCACTCTTCATGCATAGACTTGCTGCTTCAGGTGGCCATTCACTCATTTGTCCATGCATTCATTCATTCATTCATGTAATATTTATTGGTCTCTAAATCTGGTCACAGGCTGAGTAGAACCCAGCATAAGGCACACGTAAGAGTCAGAGAACTTCCCTTCCACCAGCCATTTCCACAGGGTGGCCAAAGGAGATGTGAGCCCAGGAGATGCATAAACATTGGTGAGATGCCAGGGGTAAGATATGAGATCTCCAATACTCAAAAGGCCATTTCAGCCCTTGGTGGTTTGGCTCAGCAGAAAGAGCATCAGCCTGGGGACTAAAGGGTCTCAGGTTCTATTCTGGTCAAGGGCATGCACCTTGGTTTCAGGCTTGATCCCCAGCCCCGGTTGGGGTGTGTGCAAAGGCAACCGATCGATGTGTCTCTCTCACATCAATGTTTCTTTCTCTGTCTCTCTCTCCCTTCCACTCTCTCTAAAAGCCAATGGAAAAATATCCTCTGTGAGGATTTAAAAAAAAAAAAAGTGGGTCATCGCATAGCAAAGGACCTAGGAGTACAATGACATGATGTTCCAGATTTGGCTTTACAGTACTTCAGCAAAGAACAAAAAGAAAAAAGAAAAGGGACAAAGGCATATATGCGACTCCCTCTTGAATCTGGGTGATGGGTACATGGTGGTGGAGGCATTCATTTCACTGATGCGTTGTGTGCTTGAAATGTCTCTAGTGCATCAGTTTCAAGGGGGCTTTATTGCCTGCTGTTCCCCAGCCAAGTACAGGCACAGTATCCCAAACTGCACCCCTAATTATGTTCTAAACAAAGAACAAGTTTGTGCTTGCCAAAAACATGACAGGACTGTCAAAAGGACATAAACTGAGTTCCATAACTTTCAAGATGTGAGCTAGGTTCCATTTCCCCCAGGACAGTGTAAAAATTGCAAATTGTTCATCAAGATGGAAGACAAAAACAAAGAAAAGCTTTGAAAGCTTTGAGGAATGCCGCCTCATGGAAAGATTGTCCCCTGCCACAGGCCTGTGGTCTGTGGTCCCCTGCTTATTTGAACCAGCCTTCCTGTTAACAGGCTTTCTCCTTCTTGCAGGGCCCCTGCCACAGCCTTCTGCCAGGAAGGGGCTGGAGGAAGGCAATATCCACCACCAGGTGCAGCCCAAAGGGTCCAGGAATGGACCAGGACCCTGGCAGGGAGGTCGGAGAAAATTCCGCCGCCAGCGGCCACGCCTTTCTCATAAGGGCCCCATGCCTTTCTGAAGCAGGTACTTGAGCCTCTGGTCAGTGGGTGGTGTGGGAGGGCTGGGGGAGGATAAGCCCGGAAGCTGGGTGACCCTGTGCTCATCATTGGTCAGACACCTGTCCCAAGAAGTCCTGGCATCACATACAACGGGACTTACAGGGCACCCTTCTCACCCCCTCATTTTGAAGGAGAGGAGACCCAGACCCAGATAGGGGCTTGACACTTGGGAGACAATCTCCTGGCTTCCCAGGAGTTGGGTGTTGGCTCCCCTCCACCGTGGGGTTGGTCAGGCTGACCTAGTTGGAGAGTTCTAGAAGTCCTAGGGGATCTTGATGAGCTGTGGATCCTCACCAGAGAGCAGGAGGAGGGAGGGGGCAGAGAGCCTTGGGGGCAGCAGGCAGAGAATTAGGAGCGTTGCCCAGGGAAGGAGAAAAAAATCAAATGTGACAGCAGAGAGAACAGGGCCTAAGTCTATCCCTGGCCTGTTATCTCTTTCCCTGTAGCAGGACAGGGTGGCACCAACTCAGAGCCTTTGGGCTTTATTTAGGTTTAGGGTTGTGACAGGGGGAGGGGGAAAAGCAGAATTAAGGCTGTCTCCTCATTTCCCCAGGTGATCCCTTTGACAGAAACATGTCAATGATTTCTCTCTGGTCATTTTTTGTCTCTTTAGGACTGAAGGGACCCTCAAGTACTTCCCCCCCTGCACTTCTCTCTACTCCACAGATTGGTCTGCTTCTCTGGAGCCCTTATATCCATTTGCCTCTCATCTTGCACACGTCCTGGCTGCTGATGGTCCCAGCTCTTCTCACCCACCAGCATCCCTGAATGACGTGGCCCTTCTCTGCACTGACTTTGGAGACCCAGCACTGCAAGGCCATCCTTTTTCTGGATCTCATACTGCTCTAGTATCCACCACTCCCATCTAATATCGCAACCTCCAAGCAGCCCTCCCTTCCTCAGGTTTGCCCTGGGGGCTGCATGGAAACACTCCCTTCTTGAATGGGCTCCAGTAGATGCCAGGTTTTCATGCCAGTTGGACCTTTAGCAGGCCTCCAGAGGAAAGTAAAGAGATGAGCAATGAGAGACTTTAGGGGCTTTGGCATGTGGACAGGGTGCCTTGGGGGCATTGGAGTGGTGGGTTGGTGCTCTGGTAAAGGGGAGGGGTGTAGCATTGGAGAAGAGGAGGAATAGCTTTGTGGCCACTTTCTCATCCCATGTTTGGCCTGGTTAATTCCGCCGCCAGCGGCCACGAAGAGGGGCATACAGCACTCTGTCACTTCTTCCATCTTACTGTTTCTTCTAACACTCCCCCCAACTCACTGCTCCCCAACTTCCTCTGCCCCCCACCACCAGCAAGTTCAAGCTCTAGCTCAGGAGGGGAGGGTGATGGACCTCAGGTGGCTCCATACTCTCCCAGGAGCAAAAGCCAAGCAGATGTGTTTTTGCCAAGAATCACAGAATATCAGAGCCAAAGGGAATCTTGCAGATCACTAAGTTCTGCCTCCTTACGCAAACTCCTGCAAAGACAGAGGCCTAGAGAGGGAGAGTGACCCACTGAGGGTCACTGTACAGCCAGAATGAGGACCTAGGTCTCCCAAGTCCCACTTGATGATGTCCTCTTCTCTGTTGGTGTCTTCAAAACATATTAAGTGCCTTTTCTTGGGGTTGGGTTGGGGCCGGCTGGGAAGGGAGAGGACAGTGGACTGTGAACTGCCCCATGGTGGAAGTGACGTGGTGGCCGTGGTATGGGGGACAGAGCTGCTCCAGCCTTTCTGGCCTGCCTCTAGGCTTCATTCCCCAATCTGGGTTGAAAAATCCCTTAGCTGGCCAGCTGACACCATTCTGTTAGCACTCCCAGACCCCCAATATTTTCTTAGGGGCAGCTCAGGCACTGAGATTAACAGTCCAACCCCAGCACTGGTTTTCAGGAGCTCGGAGTTGGCCTTGAGTAATTGGACTCAATAGCCTTCCCTTCATGTTGACTGGACTTTCTTTCCCAGTGGCCTTCCCTTTGTGGGAGGGGGAGGGAGAGAAGAAGGAAGGGAATGAGGAGGTGAAGGAGAGAAGGAAGGATGGGAGGAAGGATAGGTCTGAGCAGGCTTCCTTCTCAGAGGCCTCCCAGGAGTGAAGAAAAGGGGAGACAAGACCATGATGGCCATCTATGTATGTTTGGGGGCAGAGGGAGTCAGGGTCCCCAAATCCCACAATGACCCTTATGTTGCCTACCTGCCTCTCACCCTTACCTCTGCTGCTGCTAATGCTACTGCTACTGCTGCTTTAAGGCCCACCCTGGGAGCCCGCCTGGGCATTTGCCTCTCCCCACATCCCTTAGACTTGGAGGAGGGGCTGGCCAGTGTCCAGAAAGCCTCTTCTGCCACTGATGCCTCCACCAGGAGCTGGGCCTTATTTCCCCTCTTCCTCTCTGTATCTCCTGCCTCATTAGCTGCCTAGCCCCACGTGGAAGGGAGGAAGGGGGGACATGAGGGATGGCACAAGGCAGTGGAGGGCAGTGGGGACCTGGGGGCCTGTCTTATTTAAAGTGGTTGTGTATGATTCTTATACTAATTTATACAAAGATATTAAGGCTCTTTTCATTAAGAAATGTCCCCTTCCCATAGTTGTGTTCACTTGTGTTTGTAAAGATTGTTCTATGTAAATATGTCTTTATAATAAAAAGTTAAAGATGACAATTTGCCCTTACTTGTGGAGGTCATGTTCAGGAGAGCCCTTCCAGTCCTCTGAGGTCCATGGTTGTCCCCAGGCCCACATGTTGCATATGCAAGGCAGTATGCTTGCATCCCAAATCGATTCCAGGTCACATGGGCACAAACCAATTTGCCACAAACTCACAAAATCTTTATGCTTAACGGTTGGTTCGCATAAAATTCAGTCCACTTTGAACTGTTTTGGCATCTGTTTGGGTGTCCTATTTTTTTTTTTTTTGTAGTGTCATCAAAAAGGATGTTCAGAAATCAATGTATTTAAGAACATTCTGGTTAAAGGTGGGATTTCTACTAAAAATTGTTTTGTATCCTTGGTGGGTATCTTCTACTTTTTGAACACTTTTGGGACTTTTTAGCCAGTTTGCCTCTCTTGAAAAATGTTATGTTTCCTGCAATAAATACATTTGGTAATGACTTTGTATGTATCACTTTATGTTTCACAAAGTGAAGGTGCTTAATGAATGAGATAGCCTGAAAAAGAAAATACAATCAGCCCGATACAATTCTGCCATATCTGTCTCACTTCTTCATGCTTGTTACAAAAATGCCAATACCTTGAAGAACACAAAGGAATATTTGGTACATGGTAATTCAGTTAAGCAACTCCTTAGGTGCAAACAGGCATGTAGAATGCAGAATAAAACCCAGCAAGGAAGAGCCTAGAGTGATAAAAAAAAAAAAAAGAGTGCACTTGATACATCCTGTGGGAAATGCTATAGATTTGACAAGTATTTAGTAGTACAGATACACAATTTTAAGAAGATTTTCAGCAAACGTGTTAAAAAATCATAACACTTCTCAATAGGAGATAAAATAGAAAAAGCCATCCACAAGCATACAGAATGATCTCATCAACAAAATACTGAGGATTGTGACAGAGAGATTTAAAAATATGACATTATGGTGGAAGTGCCTCTTAAGAAAATTGGTACAAAGTGACTTCTTTCAAAATTACTACTTTGACTTTTAGGCAAACTGGTTGTCAGAGTCATTGGTTTTAGGCAAGGAGGTTTTGGGTGGGTTGGCTTTATGCTGATTCATCTGTTATCTCCCAATCACCCCCAAAGCTCTAGTTTACCATGAAACCAAAGAGAAGGGGGAGGTGACAGGGCAGGACAACTTAGTACTAACCTATATGTGTGTAGCCCTTTAACAGTTTAGTGCTTAAAAAATACAAACATCAACTCAGGAGTGTCCATGGAAACAGAGATTCAAGTGATGCACTCTAAAAATGGAGAAGGGTTTGCTAGTCAAGGAAGCTAAAAAGGGCAAGGAAATGATTTTCCCTTCAGATCCTCCAGAGGGAACCAGCCCTGTTGACACCATGACTTTAATCCAGTGAAACTGAAAACAACAACACACAAAAAACATCAACTCATTTTATCATCCTAACAATTAGGCAGCAAAGACCATGATACCCATTTTACAAATGAGAAAACAGGCTCAGAAAGGTGAAGTGACTTGCCCAAAGGCTCCCAGCCAGTAAATGGATCTAAAATCTGGACCTTGAATTCTGGAATGCACTCTTCCTATGGTACTATAGGAGGTACCCTAATTAGAGAGCAGAGTTAAGTACAGAACATGTTTGGTATTCTCAGGAGGTGCAATAGAAATGGATGGCTGGTGGGGTCAGAGAAAGGCTAATGGAGGCTGACCAACTAACACTGGCTCCAGAAGGCCCAAATGAATCTGGTTAAGTTGGCAGGAGGATGCTGGGCAGTGGAGATGGGGACATGAATGGGGAGAAGCCTGGGGCACATGTAATCAGCTGGGTGCTAATGGATGACTGGAAGACTGAGCTCCTTGGAGCAGCGGGTGAGGGGAAGAGAACTGGTGTCATACTAAAAGAAGGCAGGACATATGGGTCGCCACCCTTTGGCAATATCTTGACTTGGCCAAATAACTACGATAGAATGAATAGGGGTTTATTTTAGAAAATGCAGAGGAGCCTGACTGCTGTGGCTCAGTGGTTGAGCATTAACCAATGAACCAGAAAGTCACAGTTCGATTCCTGGTCAGGGCACATGCCTGGGTTGTGGGCTCGATCCCCAGTGTGGAGTGTGCAGGAGGCAGCAGTCAATGGTTCTCTCTCATCATTTATGATTCTATCTCTCTTTGCCTCTCCCTTCATCTCTGAAATCAATAATAAAAAAAAAAATATATATATATATATATATATATATATATATATATATATATATATATATATATTTTTTTTTTTTTTTTAAAGTAAATGCAGAGAAAAATAAAAGGAGCTCACTTACCTGTTTCTGGATTGTAAGACCTGGACCTAGAGGTTGAAGGGGCAGAAAACCTAAAAGCAACGGTGCTTCAAATCCATCAGGAAATTAGGCAGCCTCTGAAATGACAGAGATTAGGGAGGCAAACAGATTGAGACTACACACAACTTTTCAGGCCCCAGATGTGGTAGAAAATGAGCCCTGGCCACTTGGAAGCCTGGCACTTCAGACTCTCCCACAAGTCTTGGTTGACTTGGTATTCCCAAATGGGGCTGGGCTCTTCTGTCACAGAGGAAACTGCAGGACCTGGCCTGAGTGGCTTTTCTGAGATGCTTATATAATTCTATTTTTTCAGGCCTAAAGGTTATTTAACTGAAATTTCTTAATCCGGAGTTTCTTTCTGATAGGGTGAGCCTCTTGCCAGCTGAATGGCAACGTGAACGGCAACATGCATGGCAGCAAAGGACTTACTGCCTTCTGCCCCCGGTCCTAGAAGGGGCTGCTGACTCAACCAGCATTTCCTTGGAACCCCCCAAATGAAAGGCCTTTCCAGGGTTCCTTTGAAAAAGCCCATTTTCTTTTCCTACTGGCCAGTGCTCAGAGAGGGAGCCTGGCAAGGGACTTCTCTTGCTGCTACCTTGGACTTTAGCCAAAGGCTGGAGCTGCATCCAGAACATTTCCTTGAATGTTGAAAATCAGGGGTCAGCAAACTTTTACTATAAGAGGCCAGATAGTAAGGTTTTGTTTTTTTAACTTTGTGGATCATTTGGTCTCTGTGCCAACTACTCCAGTCAGCCATTGTCGTGCAAAAGTAGCCATCCACAAAAAGTAAGTGAATGGGTGTGGCTGTGTTCCAACAAAACTTTATTTAGAAAAACAGGTGTTGGAACACAGTTTGTTGGACCCTGTCTCAGATGAAGCCCTTCAACTCAGCCCTTGAACTCTTGCCTATGGCCCAAAGGGAGATTTCCATTCTGCAGCAAGGCCTAAATTTAAGGAAATTTAATAAACTGGTTATGAATTGGCCTCCAGGCCATGCTAACTGATAATAATTATACTAACAAAGGAAATTACTTTCGGTGAAAAGGGGAAGTCTGGAGTTGCTGTGGGTGGAAATTAGGCTCTTCCATGGCATTATGAGGGAAAATGTCCAACAGAGTCAGATGAAGTGTGTGTGTGTGTGTGGGTCCTCTTCCCCACTGGATGCTGCTGGTGGTGGAGTTCTTACATATTGAGAAAAGAAATGTTCTGAGATTCACATGGGAGAACAAATGATTTTTTATTTGCGTGGAATTAAATCCCCTTGTTTCCAAAGTCCCATTTCCCTTAACCCAGTCATAGAAGTGGGGTTTCAGTAGAGCTAGAAGCAAAGTCAATGACCAGAGTTTCCTTTCCATGTTGGAGACAGGTCTAATGCAGCATCAGGCTAGTTGTAGTCCATTAGTCCACTGTGAGTGTGGACCACATGGGAGAATGCCAGGAAGCCAAGCATGAGCCACGAGCCAAGTGTGCTAAGAGGAACTAAGAGTGCCCAAGAGCGCAAGAGAGCAAGCTTCTTTGTTCAGGGAATTAAGTATCCCAAATCTCCAAGGGCTTACAGTGGCCTTGCCCATTCTGGCCAACCATGTCTGTCCCCAGGTGTGATTGACAGTCAATTACCTTCCCTAGCCATCCCAATTTTACTGGGCATGCGTATATCTTCCCTTTGTCCAGTCCCTTCCCCCAATATTTTGCAGGGAACATGCCTCTAATGTATAGCCTTCCTTTTGCTCATTTCCTGTTGTTAATGTAACTACTTAATTACAATAGTATCATTAGCACCACTAATTACTTATCTGTGAGACTTGAAAGTCAGTGTCTTGGCCTCAATGAGCCCTGTTTCCACACTGGATGGGATACTCTGCCTACTTTTCAGTACTGTAGTCAGGACTGAATGTGATGATGCAGGTAAAGTGTTGGGCACAGTGCCCAATCTGCAATAGGAGCTCACTAGTGGGAGCTAATATCTCCACAGTGCCTCATGCTAAAACCTTAAGTGGACAGGAACCATCATCATCTCCAATTTATAGATGAGGAAACAGGCTCAGGGAGGTCAAGGCTCTTGTTTAAATTCAGAAACCACTAGTTGGCGAGTCAAGCTTCAAACCTGGCTCCACTCTCCGCTTAGGTCAGTTACCATGCTCCCAATGGGGGTTTGCACACCTCCCTGCCTCCCCCCATCCCTGAGTAAACCTTTGGCCACTGTAAACTTCCAGTGTCCTAAACAACCCATAGGACCTCCACAGGAACAGTTCAGGCCCTCAGCCTTCTCTCCTCTCTGTGGCAGCATTAGCTTGGGCAGAACCTTGGGTAGGATTTCAAAGTCAGGCTCCTTTATACATTGGCCAGGGGCTCAGAAGCCTGAGTTCCATTCCCAAGTCTGCTTCTGCCCAGGGATTACTAGGTCTCCTTGGGCTTTTCTGGGCTTCAACCCCCCTCACCTACTCAGGCCACCTCGAAGGTGTATGTGTGTGTGTGTGTGTGGTTTTCTTGAAGTCCCAGCAAGGAGTGACCTCAAGTAAGAGGGAATTGGTGCTCTGGAAGAAGAAATAGGCATAGGGCAGGAAACAGGGACCTTGCCCAGTGGATTATGTGGGTCTACACAAGCTTCCCTAGAAGCTTAGCCCTAGAGGCTGCAGGAACCTCCGTTTCTTTCACCATTGCGCAAACCAAATGCTTTCTAATCTTCCCTGGGTGTTAAAATACTGGCAGGCTGCAGCCAGGCCAGCCCAATGGCCAGAAACTAGATGTTTGGTGCCCTGGATCCTAACCCCAGATTGACCGGTAACTGGCTGTGTGATCCTTGGCAGGTCACTTTATCTTTTGGGGGTTCTAAGTCCCCTCTCATGTATTTTCATAGAACAATAATCTCTTTTCTCCCTACCTCAGACATATAGCATCCTAGAGGGTCAGAGCTGGCAGGTAACTGGAAAGTCATTCAGTTCCATGATCCCTTCATTTTTACAGCCCTTCAATTCTTTAAAGTGGTACTCAGAAAGAGGCTTGCTTAAATGGACATTGCTAGCAAACTGCTTGGGAGTGCTTCCTATGTGCCAAGCACTGTTCTAAGCACATCACCTGTCCTGTCCTGACTTCCTTAGTCCCCATTACAACCCCATTTTTAAAAACATATTT